GAGCCCCCCTCATTTCCAGCCCCCCCCACTTCTGCATCCTCCCCCAAGGAGCAGATCCCCCCCCCTGCTTTCTTTTTTCTTTCTAAACAAATTTTATTAGACCTACAAAAAAGAAAAGACATTTTTTTTAATAAACTTTATTAATATTTTATAATTTAAAAAAAAAGACAAACAACAGAAAATATAAATCTTACAAGATCAGCAGTTTGTGACATTCATCTTATACTAATATTTGGTTCATTACTTACAAATATATAGAATTTGTGCTGATGGAAATCATTAACTTATCTAGTGCTTATCCCTATTTATTTACAATCCATTTATTAAAAAAGAAAGAAAGAAAAGACATTTAAGGTGGTGCATCCATCCTGACGCACCTGATTGTCTCCCATCCTTAATTAACAAGTACAAAGAATGATACAAACTTACATAGATACATAAAATCTGGTCACTTTTAATCATCTTGTTCCTTCCTTTTTTTCCAAACCAGTGGTCAAACTTCTCCCAAATTTTATAATAATCAGATTCGGTCTTGTTGTTTTTTTTTAAATTCTTGAGTTAGTTTGCCCATCCAAATTTTCCAAATTCCCTCTCATCTGGCGTTTCGTCACCTTTCCAATTTTGGGGACTAAGTTCCCCTTGCGGCTGTAGTGACATGGATTAGTTAAGTATATTGCATCTTTCTTGTATTTTCCCACATTAATTCCCAATAGAAAAAAAAAAATCAGGTCTGTAATTCGATTTGAATTTCACACTGTCCAATTTCTGAATTTTCGGCCAAGAATTTTGGGATTTCTTACAGTTCCACCGTAAGTGATAGTATGTTCCCAATTTCCTTATTACGCTTCCAATATTTGGGGGAATAGCTTCGGGTACGTTTTTGCCAATTTTGATGGTGAGATCCCCCCCTTCCTTTCAGATGGGACCCCATCTACAGACCCCTCCCACTTCCAGCGCCCCTATTTCCACCCCTCCTGCTTGAGACCCCGCCACACACACTTGTAAACACTCCTCCAATGTTTCCAGACACACACACACACCCGGCTTTCTACACTTCAGGCACTTATAGACACCCCAGTTCCAGTCCTCCCCCACACCCACACTTGCAATACCCCCACTTCCGACCCCCAGGCCCTCCACATATCCAGCCCCCCCACACACACCTGCGCACACAAACACACTCCCAGCCCCCTCCCTCATTTGACACCTCTCCCCCACACACGTTGCCACTTTCAGATGCCCCCAGTTCCACCCCCCACCTTTCCAGACCCCTCCTGCCCTATCAGGCCCCCCTATATTTCCCGACCGACCCTCTTCCAGACCTCCAAGCCCCTCACACTTCCAGCCCGGGGTCTCCTCCCAGTCCCAAGCCGGGCCAAGGTCCCCTCCTGGATGCCAAGCCTGGCTGGGGGAGTAGGATGCCTCCCTGCGCCCACGGAGGAATGGGTGGGCAATGCCGGCCCCTTTGAAGCCCCGTGGACTTCAACTCCCAGAATCCCCCCCCCCCAACCAACATGGCAGGCTGGGGGGAATTCTGGGAGTTGAAGTCCACCCCTTTTTCCAAAGGAGACCTTGGAGCTGGCGTCTCCAAACTTGGGCTCCTTTGAAGCCCCGTGGACTTCAACTCCCAGAATCCCTTGCAAGCAGGCTTGAATCCCAACCTTGCTCCCCTTCAACCACAGGTGCCGTTCCCTAGTTGAGACGTCTGCAAGAAAACCGATGTCCAAAGACCCCGCCCCCCCTGTTTCCCCCCCCACACACACACACACCTTGTTTTTCTTTTAAATTTCTCTTTTTTTTTTAAATTATTACTCGCTTTAGTAGGCCCTGGACATAATTTAACCATTGGAATCTCAGCCAAACTTTACGATTTGGACGTCTTTGTCGACTGACGAACCAGAGGATCCCACAGCTGGATGGGATGGTGACCAGGGCCAGATGTGCCCCTCAAAGACATGGGCGGATTCTGGGAGTTGAAGTCCACCAAAAGGCAAATTAAAAGTCGCCAAGCTTGGCCCCTCCCAGGAGCCGACCATGCCAGGCTGGGCTTGTCCCAAGGGGTCAACTATGGCCCCGACCTTCTGGAGGGGAGGGGGAACCCTCTTGTTCTAAACAAGGTAGACCCCCCTTCCCCCCCCCCCCAAAAAAATGACCTTTCCCCCTTGCATAAGGGTCTTGGGGAAGCCTCCCCTGGCGGTCTCAACTGTTCCTTTGGCCATCTGGCCGTGCCAAAGGAGCAGGTTTCGTTGCCCTGTGGCCAATGGAGGGAAGGGCCTTAGCCTGTCTGGGGCATTCTGGGAGTTGAAGTCCCCCCCAAGCCATAAAAGTGGCCCCGGTTAGCGAAATATTTTTATCGGGAATGATAAAAGGTGACCATGCAAAAGAAACAAAATACTTAATTCTTCCTATAATTACGGCAGGAAGAATCGCATTGGCAAAATGCTGGGACCAAATGCCAACAAACCGTTTGATAACTCAGAAGGTTCTCGACTGCGCTGAAATGGACGTACTTTACCCAAAAAAACTAAAGAACAGAGCAGACTCAAAAGATAGTACAGTTCGGGGGGAAACGGTACAATTGGATTAAGGATAAATGCCAGAGAATAAAAGGATACAGGAAGGGGGGGGGGGGGAATAAAGCGGTTAGACTAAGAGCATTGACCAGTAACAGGAAAGGAACGTCAGAAAAATTGTTTTTGAGGAAAGGACACGCTGTCTAATTGTACTAGAAGCATATGTGTTTTATGTGTGTTAGTTTTGTCTTTCACATGGATTTCGTTTGTAACAAAATGTCTTATATTACGTATTGTGTGTATGTGTGTAGATAGATAGATGGATGGATGGAGAGAGAAAGAGAGAGAGAGAGAGAGACATATATAGATATATAGATATATTTAAATCTTTAATAGTTATTTTAATTTTTTTTAAAAACAATGGCCCTGATTGGAGACCCCCTCCCGGTTTGCAGTCTTTTCTCTGCAGATCTCACACCTTAAAACGAGGAAGGGGAGGGGGATATTCCCCACATTTCAGCAGCCAGGGGGCCTCCCCTAACTTTGGGGAGGGGTCCCAGAGCTCCTAAAGGGGAGAGTGTGGTTGTGGGGGCGGGGGGGGGGGGGGCCTCAGGGAGAGACCGTGGTTGGGGGGTTGGAGAAGGCCAAAAGGGGGTGAAAAACCCACCCTCCCTCCAAGGAGCTGGCTAGCGGCAAGTCCCAACGCCTGCCGCCTTTGTGAAGGGAGGGGAGCAGGCGCTGCCCCCCTTGGTAGCAGCCCCTCCCTCTGTCCCGCAGAAGAAGAAGAGGTGGACAAGATGATGGAGCAGAAGATGAAGGAGGAGCAGGAGCGGAGGAGGAAGAAGGAGATGGAGGAGCGCATGTCCCTGGAGGAGACCAAGGAGCAGGTGGGGGTTGCCGGGCGGCCGGGAGGAGGAGCCTCCCACTCTCCCCCGAGTCCCCCCCCTTGACCGACCCCCTCCCTCTCTCCCTCTCTCTCTCCCCCTCCACCACCCCCCCAGATCCTGAAGCTGCAGGAGAAGCTGCAGGCGCTGCAGGAGGAGAAACACCAGCTCTTCCTCCAACTCAAGAAAGTCCTCCACGAAGAGGAGAAACGCCGCCGCAAGGAGCAGAGGTGGGACCCTCCCTCTCCTTCCTCCCTCTGCCCTGGAGCAGGCGGGGGTCGGGGGGGGGGGCAGAGGCCGCGGCCCAGCCTTGGGTAGCCCTCCTCCCCTCCCCCCCCACTTTTGATCTGGCCACGACGTGGTGTCCAGCAGAGCCCAAGGCTGCCTTGGGGGGGGAACTAGTCTCCAGAAGCTTTCCAGGCCGTTGGCGGATGTCAGGAGACACACACACACACACACACACACACACACACCACTTGGCTTTCTGGGTTCTGTCTCCTCTTGGCCCCAAACATGGGAGAGCCCCAGTCACTCATAAAACACTTTGTGGCTGGGAGTCTCTGGTGCTCTCTCAGCTGGGTGGTTTCCTTGCAGACGTTTCGTGACCCAACTAGGGAACGTCAACGATGCTAGGAGAAAGGGAAGGAAGGAAGGAAGGAAAGACAGAAAATGGGGAGGGAGGAAGGAAGGAGAGAAAATGGGGAGGGAGGAAGGAAGGAAAGAGAGAAAATGGGGAGGGAGGCAAGGAAGGAGAGAAAATGGGGAGGG